ATGTGATTACCAGTCAAGAGCAAATGCACTGAAATTGCACATAGTGGTACTAATGAAATTCCTTAAAGCCTTATTAACTGAAAATATGAAAATTATTTTCATTCAGGAAGAAGGGAAACTGTTTTTTATTATTATTATTATTTTTTTTATTATTATTATTATTCTTATTTAATTATAATACAGATAATGTTTTCTGCATTTAATTTACACAGCATTTTCATGGGCAAAATATTAATTTTTTAATGTGTGCATATAATTTTTTAGTGTGTGTATAAATATATATAAAATAAACATAAATGGACACTGCAGAGTACAAAGTTTTAAAGCAAGGATGTCCTTCAGGCTTAGGTGATTATACTGCTGCTGAGTTTTTGCTATACTCCAGTGGCATTCTGCTGGAATGAGATTCACCCCTGTGCAGAGGGCAAGCATAAAACCTAAGTACCATGTAAGTCCTACTTCAGGACCTGGTTCTAATTCCATTGAAATAAATAGCAATATTTTCATAGTCTTTCAGTGGGAGCTGTTTCAAGGTCAATAAATGGGATCAGTCCTATACATGCCTTTTGCTGGCCCAATTGGAACGATACTTGAAGGAGCTGGATGTAAAGTTCTTGGAAATAAAAAAAGGTTAAACAATACTGTGGTAAAGTAAAAGCCTTGGTAATTCTGCAAAATTTGCTTATTGTAATATGAGAGCCAAAACATTCATTTGTTTCAAAGATTCAAGAATGCTGGGTAAAGTTATTCTAAGCAGCAAGCTGGTCTTACCCAAACCTGACTTGAGGAGTACTGAGTATACTTCTGCCATACTCTGTGTAATGCAATGCATGACACTCAGAAACATAGTCAAACCTATTTAAAGCTTTGTTATTATTATTTCTGCAGTACTAAGAGAATTTTGGATACCTTAAAGTACTAAAACATTGTTCTCTGCTCTGGCAGCATTAACAGGGTTTCTGTGTGTTTTTCTGCTGCATCATCTACCCTTGCTAGGTAACACAATGACATCTATTTATGCATCTAAAAAGTGCCTGCACAGAAACTCATTCCTATTTCATATATTCCAGGTGTTTCACAGCTGATTTCCCATTATTGATGAGAAAGTTTTAGATCAGACTGTATTCACAACACAAGGCAATGGAGAACTCTGCAGTCAGACTTTGTGCATCTTACAGGACTCCAGGACACAGCATTGTATTTCATTTCCCAGCATGGATAGGGAAATAAATGTATATTGGATTCCTGCTAGAATAACCTTAACCCAGCTGCCAGCTTTGCAAGTGTAAAAAGACTGTGCGTGTGTCCTCAGTAAAGTGATTTTTAAAAGCTCTGACCTTCCATAAATGAAATCCTGTTTCCTCAGAGGTGGAAGGCTAGGCCTGTGGCACATGTTTGCTTTTAACCTTGCCTGTTTCAGCAGTGGGCCAACCCAAAGAAAGTGCAGAATAGATTTTTTTTTGGTAAGAGAAAATTCCTCTACCTTTAAAAAAATTACTCCACCTGAAAAACAGATTTTCCCCCTTGACAAACTTAAAAATTTAGGAACTCTCCATGTGTGTCATGGAAAATTCACACACTAGAATACAGCTCTCTCCAAGACCCAGGGCAGCAACTAACATGTCAGAGGAGTACATGGGTGGAATAGTGACTGAGGCCATCAGGAAAATCTCCCACTCTGATACCAGTTATATAATGCTAGGTCCTTTATTACACAGACAAAACAGAAAATCCTGATGCTTTTGAAGCCTGATCTACCAAACAGTAGAGGAGACAAATAAAGGGAAGTTACACCCTGTTTAAATCTGATGGAAGAGACTGACTTAACCTTTCTGCTGCAAATAAGTAATTCCAAATAACATTCAAAATACTGTATAAAATAATCAGGGTAACATGGACTTATCCTGCAGAAATCCTTCAGAGCAATTTAGATCAGAGTTAAAATTCAAAGCTAATACTGACCATCTTTAGAGGTGAATACACAAGAAGACTGGCTTAGGATTTAAGAGTAATAATAGCAAGAAAAGTTGTTCTGCCTCAGTTTCTTCATCAATAAAATGCAAATAGTGGTATCTGCCCCTTTTCAGGAACTTTTGAAAGATCCATGAATAGGCAACACTACTCCCAAGAACCTGTATCAATGGATGAATTTGAAATCCTTTTCAAGGATCAATGAAAAGCGAATCAGATCGTGTGTAGGGGTAATAAACTTCAAAACCAGAACAACCTGAATTTAAATGAGAATCTAATTTACACACCAGCAGGGTTCAATACAAAAATGCATCTACCTTTGGGAATCCATGCCAGGAGCCTGCCTGTTAGCAGTGCAGACAGACTGGCCTGGGTGACAGGAAACTGCACGCACCAGGAAGAAATGAATGCTTCCCTCCCTAAGGAGCAGCAGGGACGGGTCCTCGCACGGACGTGGGCCTTGGGTGAGGATGACAACCCCACCATCACCCTTCATTTCACAGCCGCACCTCTGGCAGTGCTGGTGGCCTGAAAACACCTCAGCACGGGTACAGCCGGGGCACCGCCTGGCAGAGCCGGCCCGCAGGGACCGGGGGCCGCCCCCGGGGCCCAGC